TTCAGTTCATTTCAGTTCAGTCACTCAGTCTTGTCTGACTCTTTGCGACCCCATGAACCGCAGCAAGCCAGGCCTCCCTGTCCATCACCAACTCCTGGAGTTTACACAAACTCATGTCCATCCAACCATGGTGATGGTTGGATGATGCCATCCAACCATCTCATCCTCTGTCATCCCCTTCTCCTCCTGCCCCCAATCCCTCCCAGCATCAGGGTCTTTTCCAGTGAGTCAACTCTTTGCATGAGGTGAGATACTCTTATTTGGAACTATGCATTATTGAAACAATTTGCAATTTTTTAAAAACAAAATGCAACTATACTGCTCACTGAATGCCCCTAAGCAAAATACAAGAGCCAAAGTGGATGACATAATGAATCTCTGTAAGTTTTACAAAAATGTCTTTGTCCTTCCTGCACTTGAACTCTCTTGATCACAGGTGTGGCATGAACAGGTAACTGCTGAAAAATAAGTGTTATAGTGATGGGATAAACCAACTTGGTGGCAATGATGGTGAAATAATAAACCAGGTACTTATGGAAGGAACAATAAAACCTCCAGAATATAGCAAAAAGATATACATTAATGATCTTTTTTTCCTTTAATATCCACCATGTCACCTTCCTCATGAAGGAAAATGCCCAGATAAGACTCTTCCACACTGCTGCAAGCATCTTAATTTCAATAGGTAAAGGTGACAAGAAATGTGTCCTTGACTTTAGCTGAAGTGATTGATGATTCCTTTAAAGGCTCATTATTCTTCCTATCACAGTGAGTGAAGGGAGCCAGACACGTATAGGATACACTGTATGATTTCATTTATATGAAGTTCAAGGACAAGCAAAAAGGAATCTATAATGCTAGAAGCCAGAAAAACAGTTACCCCAAGGATAGAGGCTGGATTGACTGGGAAGAAGCCGAGGTTATTTTCTGGAGTGATAGAAATATTCCGTATTCTCATCTCAGCTGTGGTTGAATGTGAAATTCAAACATCTGTACACTTTAGATTTGTGAAATTTAATATATTCAAGTTATCATCTATTAAAAATGTTTAAAAAAAAGATTTCTAGGGGGATATCACTCTTTCCTTCCCTTCCATCTAGTGCCAGAGATAATAAATTCAAATTCTTATTGACTGTGCCATGTGTTTGCTTTTGCTTCACCCTTACTTTCTGTAGAGCTCTTTGAGGTCCTAGTTTTATCTGAATAATGTCAACTGGAGAGTTTCCTGAAATTCACCTTATGCCCCCATATCACATGTAGTCATCAAAGTGCCTTCTCTGAAGTTTGGCAGACACTCTCAGGGTAAATGGCTATACTAACGCTATGCATCCCAGGATTTGTTTTATTTGTTCATTCTTCTCAACATATTCCTACTTTTCAGATCACTTTAAAATGAGTTTTATTATTTATTTATTTTTAAAGTCTTTATTGAATTTATTACAATATTGCTTCTTTTATGTTTTGGTGTTTTGGCCTTGAGGCATGTCAGATCTTAGCTCCCAGACCAGGGATAGAACCTGTACCACCTGCATTGGAAGGCAAAGTTTTAACCACTAGACCACCAGGGAAATTCCATAAAATTAGTTTTAAAAGATGCCTGTGAATGTGCATGTATGTGAGTACACGTACATTCCATCATTATATGGTTTTATTCAAAAAGGTCACCCTGGCTATCTATGCTGTAGTAAAAGAGTGACTCTTATTCTTACTTTTCCTTCTGTGCTTTAGATCTTTTGTTTTCAAGCTCAGTTTGAACAGGAAGCTTTTGTTTGTCATTTGTTATATTGCTCTTGATCTCTGTAGTCCTTGGATCCAATATAGCCATTTTGCAGATGCATACCTATATCCTCATCTCTCATTCTGGTATGAGATCCAATATTTACAACTGGGCCCTTCTCTCCTGTGACAAAACCATGAAAAGACTTATTCATTCACTGAACACCAGATCGCTTGACCCATGTCCTATGTGTATGGCTTTGTTTTCTTTCTCTCACCAACCCATTTCTACTGGAGACGCAATCACAAGTGGGCACAGTGTTTTAGCCTCTCTTGGAGCAACCAATTCTGGCTTCTGATTTAATATGATAAACATGGCTTGTGTCACCTGACATACATACATACCCTGTAGTTGGTGAAATTGATTGTCTCAGTCTATTTCTGGAATCAGAGTGCAGAAAACACTGGCTGAAGTCCACAGTTGCAAATTTTTGTTTTGGTCAAACAAACTTGTTTCTGTTTGAAGTTTTTAGATGTAATTTTATCAGTCATTGTGATATTTAGAGGGAAGGGAGCAATAGCAAGTGTTATCTGACAGTGTACCATCTGAATTCAAATATCTGCCTCTGGATTTTTGTAACTGCTGATCCCTCCACAAGAAATGAACAGTAAACCATTACTTGATCTAATGCTCAGACCAACTGCAACCTGTTTGGGAAACATTTCTCCTCTCATTTCCCTAGGAAGATTGAATAAGCTTTAACCTTAAATCCTCACTGCATTTTAAACATGCCCTTTTTATAGCTCTTATCGTATAGTATTACCTTGTTTTCATGCATCTTTTCCCTATGAAATTCTGAATTCCTTGAGAGCAGATATGACATCATGTTCAAATCTGAATCATTTGTACATAGCAATGTGCCTTCTGAAGTAAGTACTCCAAATACTGTTAAAATTAATTAGCTAATTAATTAAATACCTCAATTTAATTTCCAGGGTTTTATAATCTGACACCATACAAGTTCTGCATTTTTTTTCCTACTCTGATTTTAAACAACCACCCTCTGCACCAGCTAACTTATTGCCTCGTTTCCCAAACATGCTGTGACATGCTTATTCCTTTTCTCGGGCTTTTCTCTTAACTTAGAATGTTGTCTCTCTGCTTTGAAAATTAGTAGTGGATGTGTGGTATATTTAGCAACTCTGTTAATAGCAGTATTTTTAAATCTTGAAATGCAATGACCAATGTATATATTTTTAAAGGACACATAAATGAAAAGCCTCAGAGAAATTGTAGGGAAACTAGGGGAAGTGATTCAAACCTATGTGACATTAAACACAAGTTCAAGTTTCATTCTGCTTGCATTGGTCTGAATTTCACAGAACCGGCTGATAAATGCCAGTGATTTAATGGGCAACAGAGAAATATAATGTCTGATGGGCATCATGCTCTAGTTTGCTTTCCAGGGGTTAGAGGGCTAAGGAGCTTATTTGGAATTTGCTGTTGCAAAACCACACAAACATTATGCTGACGTTAGTGTCTACAATTTGACTAAAATGTGTGTTTAAAAAACCATGTGTTTGTTCCATCCAAACATGATATTAGATAAAACAAGTAGCACTAGAGCAACTGCGCATGTGTTTAAAGCGGGTACCAATGTGGTGTTTGGATTCATCCCACAGTTTTCACTTTACATTTTAAGAGTGTGGCAGGATACAATCAAAAATGGAATTTTGAATGCTGAATCTATTAACTGGCATGTATTTTTGCGAGTGACAGGTTTCAGATAAAGGAGGAATATTCTCCTTAAAAAATACACTACATAGGAAATTCAAAGCGACTGATAAGATTCATTTCTTCTATTGCTTTTAATAGCTAAATTTATGAAAGTTATACTAGAAATAAGATTTAATTTAAACTTAATAAGACATGCCTCAAAACACAGGAAAATATGTATTAGATATTTGAAAAATATCTAAATAGCCAAAATAGCCAAAATTAGATATTTGGCTAAATGTCCATTAGCTACAGATGATTGATAAGTATTTATCAATTTACTATTAACTAATCTGACTAAAATATATATCTTTAGGTGAATATAGCATAAAATTTTAAACCTAGAGATTTTGAATGTGTTTGCCATGATTTCAGCTCCAGCTTCACCACTCTTGGCCAGATTACTTTTATACTCTGTTTAAGATACTTCTTGCATAAAAGCAATGTCTATAGCAGAGTATATTTTAATTTAAATGCAAATAGAATATATGAGCTAATTTCACTTACACATATATTTTATCTGAAAATACTGTTGTATACATCTGTGTACATATATACATAGTGTTGCTAGAAAATGAAATTAGTTTATATAAATATATGTATGTGAGTTTATAAACATTTAGACATAAGATATATATACCTACATGAATTCATATGTATATATGTGTGTGTGAGTGTTTTGACCAGTAAATACCTGGTTTCTAGTAAATAGTATAAGCATTACTAATTATTATCACAAATATTGCCATTGTGAATGACTGTCTATGTTCTTAGCTAAGGTCATCATCTCCATTTGCACTTCAATTCACACCCACAGTAGCCTACTCCAGTTCATTCTGTTTTCCCTTTCCCTCACCATCGTCTTCCCCTCTCTACTGAATATTTTCCTATCAGCATTCAAACTTGCTGAGACTTGTACCATTTTAAGCAAATGTCTCTTTTACACATAATGCCACAGCAATTGAGGACAAAGTGCTTTTACTATTCTAATAAATGATACTGAGACAGCTGGAAACCTGTATTAAAGTAAATTTGACCTATACCTTAGAGTTTACCATTTCCAAATGGATTGCAGAAATATATGTGAAAGATAATACATGTTATGATACAGAACAACAGGAGAACACCTTCATTACTGTGGATGGGCAACGATTTTTTAAAGTAAAACACAATAAGATTCTAATCATAAAATTAAAGACTTGAAAAATTGAACTCTATTAAAATTTAGGGGTTCTGTTCATAAGGAGATAGTAATAGAGTGAAAGGCCACAGAATTGAATACAATGTTTGTAACTCAGGACAGTGCAGTTTATATTCAGAATATATGATGAGTTCCTGTAATTCAGTAAGAAAAAAACAATGAAATTACTGGCTAAGCTCTTCAGAGGAGGATATTCAAACAGACAACAAAATATTCAAATGGTGATCAAGTAAAAGGAAATGAAAATAAAATAAAATACTACTTCACACTGACCAATATAACTAGAAATCAAAAGGTAGACAATACCTGCTGTTGGTAAGGATGTGGAGCAATGGGAATTCTCATACACTGCTGCTGCTGCTAAGTCGCTTCAGTCGTGTCTGACTCTATGCGACCCAATAGACGGCAGCCCACCAGGAACCCCTTTCCCTGGGATTCTCCAGGCAAGAACACTGGAGTGGGTTGCCATTTCCTTCTCCAATGCATGAAAGTGAAAAGTGAAAGTGAATTTGCTCAGCCGTGTCTGATTCTTAGTAACCCCATGGACTGCAGCCCACCAGGCTCCTCCGTCCATGGGATTTTCCAGGCAAGAGTGCTGGAGTGGGGTGCCATAGCATGGAAATATACAGTCACAACTACTAGAACAAGTCTTTGTTAGTATTGATTAAAGCTGAGCTTATGTATAACCTATGTCCAGCGATTCTAGTATACTGGTTTACATTTTACTTTATTAAAGTCTGGTTTTTTTCAACAGAACCACAAGAACAAGGAATTTTATGTTATGTTTGTGGCTGAAACCTAAGTGCCTAGAATCTAGCCTGGCCCAATGTATACACCTGGTAACTCAGCTGGTAAAGAATCCACCTTCAATGCAGGAGAGCCAGGTTCCATTCCTGAGTTGGGAAGATCTGCTGGAGAAGGGAACGGCTACTCACTCCAGTATTCCTGGGCTTCCTTGGTGGCTCTGCCGGTAAAGAATCCTCCTGCAGTGCAGAACATCTGGGTTCAATCCCTTGGTTGGGAAGACCCCCTGGAGAATGGAACAGCTACCTACTCCAGTAATTCTGGGTTGGAGAATGCCCCAGGCTGTATAGCCGATGGGGTCTCAAAGAGTCGGACACAACTGAGCGACTTTCACTCATTCATTGCCTACATTTGGTAAATGACTTTCAATTCCTGTATTAATATGTAAGGAAGGTTTCTGAATGGGAAGGCTTTTATTTAGTACCTTTTGCCCTTATGATTATTCTTCTGTGATTTGTCAGTACAAAGAAGTGGTTCTACCTAAAAAGTAGTAAAGTTATAGCAGTATAAAATGAATAACTATAATAATCAACACTAATTCTGATTTAAATAACCTCAGTAGGTCAAAACAAAAATGATAAAATATAGCATTTGTAATCTCTCAAGTCTTTTAAAGTAACTCTGAGTCATAATTTTATTTTTATGGCACCTCAGTAATGTGGACAGTGAATTTGTTTATTATCATTTAATCCAACTGTGACCTAGGTAATTGATTCTGGAGAAATTTAAAACTGAGTGTGTTAAAATTATTATAAGGATGGCATTGGGTAGATTGATTGATTGATTGAATATTGTAGCCTCAGAGAGATGTTAAAACTGTAGAAAGAGAGATTTATATCAGAAATTAGAAAACCCTAAAGAAGTTAAGTATTACGGTTGATCTTTGTTAAGGGTATGAAAATTTCCCTGAGAGTTTTTAAGAAAGCAGCCAAGAAAAAATATTTGTGGAATAGCTGCAACATAAATAAATTACAATTAAAACTTTTTCCTCCCAAGTTTGGGGTTAAAAAATATGAATTTTGGAGGGTTTTTGTTTGTTTAGAATTCTATGGTTTGTTAGGACATAATATACAATCATTTGTACAAGTCGAATGAGAAATTTACATTAACAATTTTCATGAAAGTGAAGGTTGCTCAGACATGTCTGACTCTTTGTGACCCCATGGACTATACAGTCCTTGGAATTCTCCAGGCCAGAATACTGGAATGGGTAGCCTATCCTTCTCCAGTGGATCTTCCTGACCCAGGAATGGAACCAGGGTCTCAAATTCTTTTTCAGCTGAGCTACAAGGGAAGACCCAAAATTTTCATGAATTAACACAAATAATATTTTTGAAGTATTTGGAATTCCCCAAATGTAAATGTGTTTAGAGATGGTTGGATGGCATCACTGACTCAATGGACATGAGTTTGAGCAAACTCAGGGAGATATTGAAGGACACGGAAGCCTGGTGTGCTGCAGTTCATGGGGTCACCAAGAGTCAGACATGACTTAGTGACCGAACAACAAAAAATTTTGATATAATTGCATATATTTTAAGATGGAGTTACATTCAATAATTCGCTAACCCTAATTTTACTGAAATGTCTACCAGCTTTGTGATGTAGTTGATAATTAGTAGACAAATACACTCAATATTGAGAGACATTATGAGGTTATTTAAGCTCTCATAGGTTTTCATTTTTGGATCCAGATAATGTGGAAAATGGCAATGAATATCTTATAAAGTAGTTTTGATGGTTACATAAGATCAGGTTGGTATCGCATTTAGTGCTAGGCCTGCTACATGGTAGCATACAATAAATATTAATTATGATTATGTTGCAAATATTCATAATAGATATTTTAAATACTTTACTTAATGAGCAGGACAAAACCTTATAATATAGCCTGTCCATATAACTGGCTATATTTTGCAAGGAAAAGTTCATAAATTTTGCAAAAGAACAAAATGAAAATGTGATATTTTAACAGGTTTTTACTGATTCTAAGCATACTAAAAATATAAGTATTTAAAAAAGAAAAAAAGTGTTGTCCCTCTCCCCTCTTAGCATTAGGTTGAGATGGTTGGATGGCATCACTGACTCAATGGACATGAGTTTGAGCAAATTCAGGGAGATATTGAAGGACACGGAAGCCTGGTGTGCTGCAGTTCATGGGGTCACCAAGAGTCAGACATGAATTTGTGACTGAACAACAACAAATTTTGATATAATTGCATATATTTTAAGATGGAGTTATATAATGAATAGTCCATGTATAGGGATAGACTATACCCCTATAGGGGTATAGGGAACAGGGAGCATTTTTGCTTCTGAGATATAAAGATTTAAAAATATTTGCCTACAAATTGTTGTCAGTGTAATAGACTAAAGTAGCTAGAAATTAAATTAAAGTCACACACTAGGAAAATATTTATTTTCTAATAGAACAGTTAATGTATCCTTTTATGGTCAATTTTTGAAATTAATAAAAATCTCAAGAACACTATACATGTAATTTTTACATTTTATACATATTATTGTTTATGGAAGAATAATTGCTTTACAGAATTTTGCTGTTTTCTGTCAAACCTCAGCATGAATCAGCCATAGGTATACACATATCCCCTACCTTTTGAGCCTCCCTCCCATCTCCCTCCCCATCCCACCCTTCTAGGTTGATACAGAGCCCCTGTTTGAGTTTCCTGAGGCATACAGCAAATTCCTGTTGGCTATCTATTTTACATACGGTAATGAAAGTTTCCACGTTTCTCTTCCCATACATCTCACCCTCCCCTCCCATCTCCCCGTGTCCATAAGTCTATTCTCTATGTCTGTTTCTCCACTGTTGCCCGGTAAATAAATCCTTGAGTGTCATTTTTCTAGATTCTGTATATATGCATTAGAATACAATATTTATCTTTCTTTTTCTGACTTACTTCACTCTGTATACTAGGTTTTAGGTTCATCCACCTCATTAGAACTGACTCAAATGTGTTCCTTTTTATGACTAATATTCCATTGTGTATATGTACCACATTTTCTTTATCCATTCATCTGTTGATGGACATCTAGGTTGCATCCATGTTCTAGCTATTGTAAATAGTGCTGCAATGAATATTGGAATACATGTGTCTTTTTGAATTTTGGTTTCCTCAAGGAATATGCCTAGGAGTGGGATTGCTGGGTCACACAGTGGTTTTATTTCTAGTTTTTAAAGGATCTCCATACTGTCTTCCATACTGGCTATATAAATTTACAGTCCCAGCAACAGTGCAAGAGTGTTCCCTTTTCTCCACAGCCTCTCCAGCACTTATTGTTTGTAGACTTTTTGATAATGACCATTATGACCAGTGTGAGGTGATATCTCTTTGTAGTTTTGATTTGCATTTCTCTGTTAATGAGCAACATTGAGCATCTTTTCATGTGTTTGTTAGCCATCTGTATGTCTTCTTTAGAGAAATGTCCGTTTAGGTCTTTTCCCCTCTTTTGATTGGGTTGTTTGTTTTCCTGGCATTGAGTAGAGTTGTGTGAGCTTCTTATATATTTTGGAAATTAATCCTTTGTCAGTTGTTTCATTTGCTATTATTTTCTCCTCTTCTGAGGGTTGTCTTTTCATCTTGCTTATAGTTTCCTTTGCTGTGCGAAAACTTTTAAGTTTAATCAGGTCCCACTTGCTTACTTTTATTTCCACTACTCTAGGAGATGGGTCATAGAGGATCTTGCTTTGATTTATGTCATTGAGAGTTCTGCCTATGTTTTCCTCTAAGAGTTCTATAGTTTCTGGTCTTACATTTAGGTCTTTAGTCCATTTTGAGCTTATCTCTCTGTATGGTATTAGGAAGTATTCTAATTTCATTCATTTACATGTAGCTGTCCAGTTTTCCCAGCACCATTTACTGAAGAGGCTGTCTTTGCCCCATGGTATATTCTTGCCTCCTTTGTCAAAAAAAAGGTACCCATAGGTGCATGGGTTTATTTCTTGGCTTTGTATCTTGTTCCATTGGTCTATATTTCTGTTTTTGTGCCAGTACCATACTGTCTTGATGACTATAGCTTTGTAGTATAATCTAAAGCCAGGAAGTTTGATTCCTCCAGCTCCATTCTTCTTTCTCAAGATTGCTTTGACTATTCAGGGTCTTCTAGTTTCTATATGAATTATGAAATTTTTTTGTTCTAGTTCTGTGAAAAATGCCATTGGTAATTTGATAGGGATCACATTGAATCTGTAGATTGCATTTGGTAGTATAGTCATTTTCACAGTATTGATTCCTCCTCCCCAGGGACATGGAATATCTCTCCATCAGTTTATGTCATCTTTGATTTCTTTCATTAGTGTCTTATAATTTTTTGCATACAGTTCTTTTGTCTCCTTAGCTAAGTTTATTCCTAGATAGTTAATTCTTTTTGCTGTAATGGTGAATGGGATTGATTACTTAATTTCTCTTTCTGAGTTTTCATTGTTGGTATATAGAAACGCAAGTGATTTCTATGTATTGATTTTGTATCCTACAACTTTGCTAAATTCACTGATTAGTTCTAGTAATTTCCTGATACTC